CTATCCCAAGTCTATGGCAGTCAGGCGGCACCCCCGTGACATTTACGGATTGGCTTGTTGCTCCGTAATGAAGCGGGTCGTAAGTGGAATTATTTGTGCGCTGCATCAGCTTATGCTTGCATAAGTGTAGCTTTAGTATTTATTGCATATTTCCAGGCGTATAAAAATTAAAGCTAATGAGACGTGAGATTTTAGTGTGTCAATATTTTTAGTAGTCGTTTCTTCTTGCTTAATTATTCGTAGCTAATTTAATTTCGATAGTTTAGTCGTCGAGCAGCTTTTGTGATGACTTTTTAAGAGCGCAATTCTGAAGAAAATATTTTTATATTTATAAGGGACCGAAAATACATGTGATGTCCTAATAACGAGTTCTCGAAATATAAACTTAATACTCGGGACCAAGGGAAACTCTTTTTATATGCTTCCCTTTGTTTCTGCATTCTTTCCTAAAACGATAGACAACTTTCCGTACACATGATTTAAAGTAGAGAGATATATATTATATAGTTTGCGGGTATTTTCGTCTCTTTCTTACACTTCTTCTCGATCCCCCTATCCCTCTCAGTCGTTCTCCCTATCTTTCTTACACTTCCTCTTTTTTTCACACACTTCCTATCCCTTTGCTAGACTCTGCCTCTCTTTCTTCACTTTCCAGTTACTTTGGAGAGGTATAGTTTATATAGGTTGCAGGTACTTTCATCTCTCTCACACTTCCTCTATATTCCTTTCACTCGTTTCTTCTATATTTCTCACTCTTTCGGTCTCTTTCTCAAACTTCCTATTCCAGACTTTGCCTCTCTTTTTCTTTTTCCATCACTTTCTTTATATGCCTCACACTTTATCTTACCCTCTAGGGTTTCGAAGAGTTTTCAGCGGCCTTTTGAGATTATGACTTAACATTTTTCTGTAGCATAGTATGTATTCAAGGCTCAAAGGTAACGTTGCTTAAAAAATTTCAAAGATTAATATTTTTTAAGTGTTGAGTTTGTTTGTGTCCCACTCAAGATAAATGAATATGATTAGAATACTTCTTTTAAGGCACGTCGATTTGACTTCATTTCTGATATAATTCATCACACTCTCATCTCATCCGATCTTAGCACCACAGTTATTCGTCGTTTTTCGGCTATAAGGGTATATTTACACTACCTTTACCAGGTTGTTTTTGATTTTAAGATCACTGTGAGTCTATGTTGCTGTTCCTCGAGTAGAATTTACGGCTTTCACCGATTACTGAAGCTTCAGCCAGAGCTTTCAATTTTCTCTTTTGGTGCATTTTTCAACCTTCCAAATGCTTGATCTTTTGTCAAACTTATTTTTTATCAAGTTGTAGTTATATTAAATATGTTCACTTTGGACCATATAAGCCTTTTAGCCTTCGACTGTAACGGGTTTGAAACCGTTTTGTTATCGTTTTGTTGGGATATCTATGAAAGTTTATAAAATTGAACAATACATTCAGAGCTTCTCCCCAGCTTATTTACAACTTCGCGCAAAATTCAAATGACCCTGTGTCTTTAGTTTTAAATTTTTACAGATATATAGGCACTTTCACGCAGATCCTAACCTCAAAATGTAATATCTTTTTTACTTCTACCGAAACGATTGCATTTTTACGTGGTTCTTTTCATCGTAAAGCTTTTTGTTAGCATCTAAAGCCAATTTATACATTTAAAGTCCAAATTGGGAACATTTTATATACAGCTATTATATCTAAATCTATATAAAACCAAAAATACATATAAATACATACAGTTACTAATTTTCTATACTGAGACACACAAAGGAGCAATCGTATATGAAAGGACAACAATATACCTTGATGTCCTCATTTAAAATCACATAAATTTAAAGTCCCTTTACTTTCTTGACTCACTGTAGTATACAATAGGAGCACATAACCTGCACCCAAGGCACACAATTTACGTATTTTTTAAAAGAAAATAAAAACCTAAAATTTTTCATTTCACTCGCCTACTTTGCCACCTGCACTGTCCTCTCGTTTCTCTGCGCTACCTTTGCTTCTTCATTCCCAAAATATAATTTAGACTACAATAAACGCTTGGGAATTTATTACCCAAAAATTCATTGACTGTCTACGCGCGTCTGTCCGTCAAACCTCAAGCTTAGCTGCTACCTGACTACGCACGCAGCGCGCGCTAAGGAAAGAGCAGAATGAATGGGCATGCAAAAAGTTGTTAACAAAATTTGCTGAACTAGTTCTTTGAAATGCGTCAGGGCTATCATGAAAAATGCTTGTTTTTCCTATTGTTCTTCTGTGCGTATACTATATAAGCGCATAACGGTAATAATAAGTATCATTTCAGTCAAAATTTATTTATATATAAGATAAACAATCATTCCTGGAGTATCTTTGGGAGCGAGGACTAAGGTATTAATTAAATTTTCATTTAATTAAAAATGTTGACGAATGACAGGCAAAGCGCTTAGGGAGCGGAATGAAAAATATTATAAGGGAACAAAACTGTAGTGCACTCATGAGAGCATGTCCTTTATAGTCCCAAGAAAATTACAAAATTTGTAAGCTGCTGTATGCCAGGGTCTCGTTAATCCCTTAGCGAAAAGCTTGTGTACCCAGAGTCCTTATTGAAGCACTAAAGGATTACCTTTAATTAAAAAAGTATTATATATATCCAAAGCTTCTTGGGATAGCAAACTGTAAAACAAACCATGTTGAAATGGTGCGTGAAGGTCTCTTTAGAAGACTTTAAAATTATGAAACGGGTAATCGAGCCTTTCGTAAAGAAGAGTAATGGGTGAAAACTCAGCTACTTACTGTACGCAAAAGCTGACTGATAAAAAAAATGTATTTTGTCAGTTTTATACTGATGTAAAAAAGCTCTAAGCAACCGATAGATGTCGCTATGGTATAATTAAAAAAAAAAAGTGAATTTAGAAAAAAAAATCCAAAAAAAATTATTTTTAAATAGTAAGTCTTATTATATAGATTTTACCCGCCAGATGGTGGCACGGAAACGAAGAACTGAAAAGGAGCATGCATCAGCTTCTTTGTTGAATATGGTCGGACGAAAGCATGCCCAACGATTGGAGCATTTTAAGTAGGCTCTGGCCAATACCCCACAATCTACGTCAACTACCATCGCGTATAAGGTTCTATCGTGCGTATTGAGTGAAAGATTAGAGCCCACCGTCAACCAACTGATTGGACCTTATCAATGTGGCCTTAGGGCTGGAAAATCAAAAAATCGATGATATATTCACCATGTGCCAAATCTTGGAAAAGACCCGTGATAAGAGGATCAACACACACCACCTCTTCGTCGATTTCAAAGCTGCTTTGCCTGCACGAAAAGTGTGTAAACTGACATTGAACAATACCAAAAGCTCCGTCACGATCGGGAAGGACCTCTCCGAGCCGTTCGATACCAAACGAAGTTTCAGACAAGGCGACTCCCTATCGTGTGATTTCTTCAATCTGCTCTTGGAGAAACTAATTCGAACAGCAGAACTTAATCGAGCAGTTACAATCTTCTACTTTTATAAGAGTGTACAGCTGCTGCCGTATGCCGTTGATATTGATATCATTGGCCCTAGTAACCGCGCCGTTAATTCTGCTTTCTTCGGAATGGATAAGGCAGCTTAGCAATTGGGTGTGGTAGTGAACGAGGGCAAGACGAAATATCTCCTGTCATCAAACAAACAGTAGTCGCACTCGCTACTTGGCTCTCACGGCAGCCGTTTTCTTCATTTCCCCCATGACTTGCCGCGTATATTGGAAAACCTTCAATTTGCATACCTTGCGATTCGATAACGAAAAAGTAGAAAAATGGCCTTAAGTCATCAACGAATTGAACTCTGTCAGCCGAAAACTGCAAACTTGGCAGACGCCAACTAAAACCAAAACAAAAAAAAAAAAAAACTTTCTAAAAGTGAAAGGGACACACAAGAATGACGGCACACATGTATGCATACACGAAATGCAAATAAAATAACGGAGTATGCCGAAATGGGCGCAATTGCTTATGTATGCATGTATGAGAGTGTAAGTGGTGTATGTATTTGTTTGAACTGAAAGAAGAAGAAGAAAGCAAATGTTTGTGCGCCGCCAGCGAAATTTCAACTCAGCTAACAGCGGAGTGGCAGTAAGGACAGGTTCTGATGTGCTTATTTGCCAGCTTGAGGTGGTTGCTTAGACAGCGCGCTCACTCTTCCTCTCTCTCGCTCACGCTCTCACTCACTACTCGGCATGCAGCCAGCGGCTAACTGCTGTCAAAGTGGAAAGTATTTTGATATTTTAGGCAAATTGCCAATAAGTTTTAGATTTTTCACAAATTTTATTTGCAGCAATCGGTCGCTGCTGCGGCACCTCAACTTGCACCACACCTTACGAAAAGTTTTGCGCCACCACAAATATTTTTTATTCTTTACCATATCGCTCCTGCTGTCTGCCCTCTAACACGTTTCCAATTTTCGACAACTTTTCTTTGCTGTTGGTTTTCTTTACACTTTACCGCAGTCCATTATTTCATAGTAAACTCCATTAGCAAGTGTATGTGTGTGTGTCTGAAGTGTTAACACAAAAAAGCCGAAAAGTTGTGCAACTTTATTTTGCTTGTGCCCCACTTTGTGTGCCATTCAACGCATACTTTGTCGCTTGTTACGCTTCAGCCGAACTGAAGTGTTAATATAGCGAACTTTAAACGAAATCACACATACTACTACGACCATTCATTTCTATATATGTATGTATATGTGTTTTCGAAGCTTTCAACAGCTGCATTCGATCTATGTAATTTTCGATTGAATTTTATATTGTGAACTTTTTACATCGAACGCACCTGCCATACCATTTTTTAAATACGCTTTGGTGCTAAATGTGAAGGTATACTTTCGGGCGCTCTATTGTAATGCAATACAGTTCTTCCCGCTTACAACAAAGTAGCTTGTGTGTTTAAATGTGCATAGTAAAGTCGATACTGTTAAATGTTTGTAAAATTATATATTTGTAGCATACTTACCGGTGCTTTGACTGCTTTCAGCTTCACACAAGCGTATCAGATTGCCACATATCACCAAATATAAAAAAGTGTCATACACAACTTTTTTTTTTAGCAACACAAACACTACGCTGTCACACGCAGTGATACCACTTATATTTTCTTCACTGAAAAGAAAAAAATAAAACATTTTTGACAATAAAAAAATGAAGTAAAAAAGAAAAAACCAAAGTAATAAAGAGTTTGTAGGAATAAAATATGGTTTCCAAAGATAACTCATATATGAAATTTATGTATAAAATAAGTAAATAAAATGGAGATATATTTAAAAAAATTAGATATTTTTTCAAATTTTTTGTAATTAAAATTGTTTTCAGATTTTGTTTTGTAAAT